GTATCACAAATTAAGGCTCCAATGCGACATGCAATATGTTGACCATTGATGTTAATACCATTCTGACATATTTCTGTAGCCTCATTGACAAAATCTTTTAAGAAATCATTAACATCCTCAGGTTTTTCATTGCCTTGATAAAGCCCAATCATAAAAACATTATCATATGGAATAATTGAGCCAAGTATAGGCCAAAACTGTTGTTGCGATGATTTTGTTAACGGTAATCCGTCAATGTTTATTGCTATTGTCAAGCAATCAATATTATCTTTCTTTGAAAATATTTGTCTTAGCGATTTTTCTAAACCAAAATGATAATATAAACCTGGTACAACTGTACGGATGTCTTGATGTCTAGGTGTCTTTAAAACTGTTCGTGCATCCGAAGAGAGTGTAGAAAAACAAGGATGTTTCCGTAATAATAATAACAATGCTCTTAAAGAGGTATGTGTTATTTGATGCTCTATAGCCCAGAATGAAAGATCATCTTGAAAATTACTTTCATGTTCAGATGCTACATCGCTTAATTCATCACGAGAAACGTTAAAAGATGATTGTTGTGATTCCGACTCATTGTCAGATTGTCTGTTTTCATGTTGTACAAATATATTATTATTTTCATGTTGTACAAATATATTATTTTCACGTTGTACAAAATCGACATTGTCAAATTCCATATTCTCAATATCTATTGTAGAATTATTTATGTCTTGATTTCTATCAATATTTACTTCTTTATTTCTATCAATATTTCTTGTGCATTTACTGTCATTACGCGACAATGAAATATTCTGAAATATGTTTTTACATATAAAATCTGCCTGTTGTGCTGCTAATCTTCTAAGATGTCGCTTAGATACATGTAAGGTATCTTTTCTTTGACGTTTTCGATCCATATCAAATGTTATATCTGTACAATATGAAAAGATTTATGATTGCAGACTAAATAATATTATATTATGTACTAGGATTGCCACAGAAAATAAAATCTTTTTCAGATGACAACGGAGAATTTTTTATAATTAATACGTAATCTTAAATTTTAACGTTTAGGAGCACAAATCACGGGAAAAATAGCATATATTATTAGAAGTAACACATAATGCAGAAAAAATGAGATATGTATTTAAAAGATGAAAGTAAGTTTAAAATAATCATTGTATATTCAACATATAGCATTCAAGCTTTAAAATTCCGATAGTACTTCTCAAAAATAAAAATATAATTTAATCATGTTCAGTTTATAAATATCTGATCCATTTTTTGATGTTAATTATGAATTAATAAAACACGATCTAGTCAGAATTTTTTTAACAAAAATACCAAAGTTGGATACATAAATTATTTTTTTCATAAGTTAAATTTAATAGAGCAATACAAATAAGTTATATTAGAAATTTTTATTACTTTTGATCAATTACAAAAAATAACATACCTATGAATACCTGTAAAGTATCTTCCGAATGCTGACCTTTGTATACAATATTTTCAGCGGCGCCAGAATTAAAAGACCACAATATAATTAAATAAAGTGTTTCACTACAACTCGACTTGAAATCCTAAAAGCAGAAAAGTTTTTTTTATCGTCGTTACATTTATTACGTTCGCTACATAGGTTAATTATTTAAGTTGTATATTCAACATATGACATTCAAGCTTTAAAATTCCGATAGTACTTCTCAAAAATAAAAATATAATTTAATCATGTTCAGTTTATAGATATCTGATCCATTTTCTGATGTTAATTATGAATTAAGGTGGTTTTATCGCCAACTCGATAGTGTAACGTTGTCACATAAACGTCACACAATCGCATATGTACAGTCTATGTGAAATGTTTTTATTAAATAACGTTTGTTTTTATTGAATTATCAGTCATATGGAGGGACTAACTTTTGAGTGGGACTTGCTCGATAAAACCACCTTAATAAAACACGACCTAGTCAGAATTTTTTTAACAAAAATACCAAAGTTGGATACATAAATTATTTTTTTTATAAGTTAAACTTAATAAAGCAATACAAATAAGTTATATTAGAAATTTTTATTACTTTTGATCAATTACAAAAAATAACATACCTGTGAATACCTGTGAAGTATCTTCCTGACCTTTGTATATAATATATTCAGCGACAACAGAATTGAAAGATCACAATATAAATAAAGTGTTTTATCACTGCAACTCGACTTGAAATCCTAAAAGCAGAAAAGTTTTTTTTATATCGTCGTTACATTTATTAC